GTGGATACAAACAACATCAAGGTCTGCCCGTGCAGCAAAGCAACTTGCATTTCAAGTGACCTGTGAAACGCTGACCTTGGCATAATTTACAGTGAACTAATTTATCCCAAATGGTCCTCGCCCAACTTCGAGGGGAAAAAAAAAAATATTCACATTCCTTCCTTCTTGCATCATCTTACAAGACAATAATGAACAATCTCATATATTACTTGGATAGAATTTCACCTAATCCCAACATCTAATTTCAATGCAAGGAGTTATTATATTCATTTCATTTAATTCACTCCATTTGGGAAACAGTCACTTAAACGTTAACAGAATTTTTCTCTTCAGGAAATTTGGAAAAAAAAAAAACAACTATCTAACTTAAACACAAAAAGCTTTGCAAATTTCCCACATAGAAAAACCTGAATAAGGTCATTGTTCTACTACATTTCTTCACAAATAGAGTCAAAATCCAATTTAGATAAAGCAATCCTATAAAAAWTACTGACACAGGGATCCAAGATCATCACCTGCAGCTCCTTCCATGGTGATGGTAAATGTGAAACCCAATCCCCACTCACCCCATGCCAGTGCTGCCTCCTTTGCCTTAGGCGTTCTCATGGTTCCTCCAATAACTGGGTGGAAATGACTCGGCCTCTTTTTATGAAATCCTTGTCTGTCTGMATCAGGCACCCCGACAACAGCAAAACTCACTGAGCTAGAATGCTGAGAGTGGAAAATTGTGGTGGTTCAAGCCCCAAAGAGCTCCACCACAGCAGCTTGGGGAGACAAACACCCCACTCCTCCTCCTTCCCCTGCCCTACACACTGGGTATAATTCCACAGCTCTGGAATATCCCCTGGCTCTAAGGGATGAGGAGCACAATAGCATCAGCAACAATAAAAAAAAGTCACATTATATAGTTCAAAGCAAACAATTGTCCACCTAATTTTTAATTAACAGAGAATATTTCCCAATGSTCAAGTACTGTGTTCTGTTAACAGGTGAGGTTTGAGGGACTGGAAAAAGATGATACAGACAGCTTTAACTTTGGAAAAATCCTCTCCSACCAGAAGTCTTACTGGATTTCATAAAACAAATTGCCATAGCTCAGATTTTGCTAAACTTTTCTTGCTTACCAGCCTAGGCATCATTATTAGTATTAACTATGCAAAACACCATTGTGGTTTTCAGCAATATAAGAAAACAGAAGGRGAACTTCTGCCACTTTTCAGACTTTTCTGAACCCATAGCACCTTTTTTTCCTTAATACACATTCCAGCAATTTTGTCCCAAACACATCATCCCCATTGCATCCTTGCTCAGCAGAACACATTCCTTTAAAGGAACRGGAGATTATCGGTTTATCCTGGAAACGTCTTTCCTGCTGCTGTGCTTAGTATCAGTGMTGGGATAAAACCCTCTTAAAATAGTGCCAGGGTCCAGGCAACAACCCATTGTATGCAAYAGTCTTTCAGGTTTTATAGAGCAATGACTTTGGTGTTTTCAGACCAGGAATGAACAGCAGATTTGGGCTAAATTAAAGTTATGGCAGCCCAAACTGATGTCCTGTCTCAACAGCAACAGCCAAACTGTTTGGAACATTGGACTGTATGTAACCTGAACAAAAAGGATGAGAACTATGTGCATTAACCCCCCTCACAATTTAAAAAGGGAAAATCAGGAATTCAAAAAATATATTAATTCAAATAAGTTTTTCTGTTGTCACTTGKAACAGCTTTTCAACATGGATTTGAAATTATTAAAAGAGATTGCTCAGTTCCACATTCTTTGATGAACAGCAATAACTTTTCAGAATTAAGAGACACACATAAGACAAAAAGAACTCCCCCACACCTTACAGGATGGGTCATAGTTTCCTACCCCACTGGAGTGGACATATCCCAGCCAACAGGAGATTTCCATGATATTTCAGCAGCAATGTTACCATCTCGAACCAGCAACAACAGTCCTTGTTCCCTATTCCCCCCCCCACAGCTCAGTGCCTCTTCACCAGTCCAGGAATCCTGCATGGAAACAGCACGAGGAATTCCTGAGGAGGGACTGAGGYTTTACCCCTCACTGCAAACCTATCAGCCTTGGCAGGTTCAACTGATMATTTTTTTAATTATCATTATTATTATTTTTTTAGGAATCCCACCAGATGGCAGCAGAATGTCTCCCCAGCAAAACTGGGAGCACTCCTCCAAAGGACAGCTCCTTACTTTTGGAACAGACACAAGACTTCCAAAACTCAGCCCTACTCAGTCTGAGCCACAGGGCACAGACACAGCTTGTCACTGACACTAAAACACAGACTTTTTTCAGCACTTTAGGAACATGTGAGCAGGGAACACTCCAGAGCAAATCGCTCTGGTTTTGGCAAATGAGGAACRTGACKSGRTTTGTGGCAATTCCCCAAACCAGARCRTGGGGARGCAAACATGCAGGACCTGACASCCCCAGYCTGATTTCTCCAGAAATGKTCCCAGCTGAGCAGGACAGRGCCCTGTGAACAGCCAGCAGCACCCGCAGGAGTTAATAATGAAAGTGCTGAAACACAARGCTTTGACTCTTCACGAGTGAGAAACTCCAGCAGCACATTAGCTACCCCCAAACATCATCGAGCAGCAGACAAATGAACTAATGACAAACGCTAATTCAACTGCCAAGAGAAAATCTCTCTCAGTGAGGTAACGGGAAGTGCAACAGCACACACTGATTGCACTGAACTGAGCTGCAGGTCAGCTGCACCTTCCAAACAAAGCAATGACACATCAGAGCAGAAGATGAAAGACTTCTGCAAATACTCCAGCTGTCTATGGAACATCATCCATTTCCCTCAGAAGCACTGACAGAAACTTTTCCRTTATCTATTAGTGCTAATAATGCTCAGACAAGATACGAGAAACAACAGAATCCTCCTACCAAAGTGGYTCAGGCTTTGTGAATTCTGTGTCACACTTTGCTCATGTCCAAGTCACCTCAAACTATAAATACCCAAGTCAGTGTTTACATATCTCACATAGCTAAAATTCAATTACATGGGCATTCTTCCACATTTCRAATGAAACTAAAATTCAGTTTAATTCTTGCTTACAGACTCCTAAATTCAGCCTCCACTCACTGGCAGAAGTTAATACAAAATACCAAAAGCCGAGCAGTGACCACAGAACTCAAACACACGTGAGCAAAGAGGAACTCACTCCCACCAACGACATCCTCAAGCATTGCAGCCCCAGGTCTGCCAGAGGGATCCCAGCTCCCCGTTTCTGCATTTKGCTAAMAATTTTAGCTGTTTTCTTTTCCCARGCTGTTGTTACCTCAAAGCTGGAGTTGCAGCTCTGCAGGCACAGTCCCCCAGGGGCAATTCCTGCTGGACAGCCCTGGGTACACAGCCAAGGGCTCACGGTGCTTTTGGCATTGTCTTCCTACCTGATGTCAGTCAGACCCTTCCCTCTATGCTCCATTTTTCCCCTCAACACTCTTAATGATATTATATTTAAATATGCAAGCATGACCTTTCATTCKACTGAATATTGTGGAAGCAGATCTCTCTCTGCACCTTGTTTTTAGGCGAACAGAACTGGGAAAATAAAGACCTGGGAAAYGCACAGGCAAACAAAACACCAGTAAAAAGGGCTGATCTTACATAACAACGTAAATTCAAGCAAAGACTGTGACAAATTAAGTTATAAAACCTCCACACTTTAAAAAAAAAAAAACTGATGGAAATATCTTTAGATAATTYTTTTACAGCAGATTCCTTGTCAGTTTTCATTCTTTTACACCCACTTTTTAATGCTGTACCACAGAGCCAGAGCACAGTAGCGCCGACAGCACAACAGCTCCCCTCCGACTGGGAGAACTCGGTGTTTAAATTAACTCCCCAGCTCTGAGGGAAGGGACACGAGAGCAACCACAACACTGACCTGCACCTCGCTGCTGCAGCTCCTTTCCTTCTGAGAAAGCAGCAGTTTAGTACCAACACCAGGCTCTAATGAAGGGCTGGGCTGCAGGGAGAAGGTTTTGCTCTCCTGAGGCCTGCCCTGCTGAGCCTCTGTGCTGGCACACACTGTGACCCGGCCACTCCTCGCAGAGAAGCTGCAGATCTGTCAGTACTAAAGCACAACTCCTGGAGCACCCCCGAGACTCAGCTCCCAACGCTGCAGAGGGCTGGGACACCACACACAGCTGCAAACTTTGCATCTGTGCTGCAGGAAGTGCACTGCAACACGCCTGCTCTCCAGAACACCCCCTGCCAGCCTTCGTGCTTCCCAGGCACAGCTCAGAACGGGGCACACTGACAAACATTTATACACAAATATATATATATATATCTATCTACTGCTGCCGGTTCTGTGTCAGTGCTCCTGAAGGGCAGCAATTACGCACATGGCTCTAAGGTAGGCACAAAATGCATTAGAAGAGATTCCACTCCGCTGACAGACTCCTCTGAAATACRGCTAGGGGATAAAAGGGCCGGAGGCAGCACTAGAGCAAGGCAGGAAATCCCATTTCCATTTTTGAGAGGGGAGCAAAGTTCAGCTGTGCTGTTTTAGGTAGCACACAGCACTACCGCGGGTCAAACCGCCGCGAGACAAAGATCTTGACAGGTGACTGCACAAGGAAGACATTTTCATATGCTTTTCATTTCTGACTCTTAAGCCGGGTCAAAATGAATATTCTAATGCTCATTTGTCAACCTGAAATTTTAGGAAGCACGGCTTAGCTGCACAGATGCACACTTAATTAAAGGTACAGAGAGGGCATAAACAAGCTGCGTTGTCTCAGAAGAGAACGGCGGGGTGGGCTGTTAGTCAGAGGTGGCTCCTCACCACTGGGAACCTCGTTCTGCTAACGCAAACAAGCGAAGCAACTTTCTAAGAACCAGCAAAAGAACTCGTGGTGAGCAGCTCTCTCGTGTTCTGATTCAAATGACAAAAACAAGGATGAGTTATGACCAGGTAAAGAATGACAAGGGGAAATCGGTTCATTTTTTTGTCTCTACTCACCAGACAACACCAAAGGCTCCATATCCGATGGGTCTGTCCGGCTCAATGTCCAGTTGCTGCTGTGGATGTTGTGAGTGCTGATGATGGTGCGCTTTGACCGCAGCAGCTGCTGCAGCCTGTACCTGAGCTGGGGCTGCTGCAGCCGGTCCAGGGGCCTGGCCCGGGGCCGGGGATGGGAAGTACGGCTGCTGCTGCCCTGGGTTCAACATCGCGGCGGCGGCGGCCGCGGCTGCGGCGGCCGCGGCGGCCGAGGAGGCATGCTGCTGCACGGGGTGCACCGCGGCCGCCGAGCCGGCGTGCAGGTGGTGCTGAGCGTGGTGGTGGTGATGGAGGTGAGGAGGAGGGAGGTGAGGAAGGTGGTGGTGATGGTGGTGGTGGTGACCTGCTGCTGCCGCAGACGTACCGCCATTGTAAGCCGCCATCATTTTTGCGTTGGCTGTTGTGCCACAAAGAGACATTCAAAAAAATGCCCTTTGATTGGATAACAACTGGGTCAAGCTGTCATTTGGCCATAAAAATTAAATCTGCTACACTTTAAAAGAAGTTGGGTTTCATCATACACGGCCCACCTTTAAAAACATGGAGCTCCACTGGCCTTATCTCCTCTCGAAGCCAAACAACTCGGGGAGTCTCTTCATGTGTGCGGGCGCCAACCCCTTCCCCAGCATCCAGCCGGGCTTGGCTACTCCAACTCCATCCTTGGGCAGCTGGGGTGGGGCCGGGGTGGGTTTTTTCCTTCACTTTTGTTTTTTTTTGATGTTTTTCTTGTTATGAAAATTAAACACCGTGATCAATGCCCCTTCCCTGCGGAGGGAAGGCTCGGAGCCTCGGCCCTGAACACCCCGCGAGGGCTGGCCAGCCTAGCCCTGCCATTCCCGCACCCTCTCCATGTGTCCCCCGAACCTCCCTGAGCCCGGGCACCTCCTACATCGCTCCCTCCTTCCAGACACCTGCTCCCTCCTTCCAGGCACCTGCTCCCTCACAGCAGCAACAACTCGGGAGTTTGCAACTTTTCCTTGAAGGCCTGAAACACACACAAGGACCCAAAGAAAGTGAAGGGGGGGGGCGCAGGGCGATGAGAGAGGGGCGAGGGTGGGCTCAAACAAGATAAAAACAGAAAGAGGAAGGGAAGGACCGGGGTAGGACGGGGATCGCGGGCGGGCGAAGGAGGGCGAAAAGTGGCAAATGAATTACGGGGCGGCGCGGGGCCGTGGCGGGGGCGCGGGGCAGGACGCGGCGGCCCCTGACAGCGCGACCCGCGGCGGGGCGGGGCCGGCCGGGCCGGGG